TATTATATATTTGCTTCCTGATTGTGATCGCATTAATTTTGTTCAGCATGTTGTTGTTTTTAATTATGTGAACTTTCAATTTAATTATATGTAATAATTTTCTGCTAATTTAGCATGTGTTTACATATATAAAAGCCTGCTTTTTGCATTTGTGGCATGGTTACCAGCGAAGCACACCATTTATATGGCTGGATAAATGGTAACACATGGTAAATGCATTGCAGTACATAAAAATGTACATGTGAATGCAGACTTACTCTTATGGGGAGCATATACGCCCCTGTATTTGAAAGAATACTGTGAGATAAAATAGTTTAATTATCAAGAATTCAAAAAATAGTCAGTGCTAATCTGAATGTTTTCTTCTGTTGTTTAGCTGTGGATTATTGATGAGAAGAAATGGCAGCCTGGTCTTGTTGAACACACAGTGGGCTGGCCTTTGGACAGGCACACCTATGGCGGATCATTCCTCTATCACCTAAATGAGGGAGAACCACTTGTAGCACTTGGGTTTGTGGTAGGCAAACTTCTTTTCTTACAATTCCCAGGCTTGTAATTTATTTTTATTTTTTTGCCTAAAAACATTGAGGGGGATTTATCAAAATTGGAGCAGATAGACCTGACCAATTTACAGCTATGCCCCCTCTTATTAGGAAAATAACAGTAAAGCTACAGTGCTGAATGAAGCAAATATTACCAATTCATTCATCGATGCTTACAAGCGTTGATGGACAAATCCCCCGCTGTTTGCATTGTACTCTGATAGATAATAAAACGGAGCTACTAGCTGATTGGCTGCTAGCTCCATTCAGCCGAAAAATTTCCAACCTGCTCCTTCGATTAGCTGATCGAGGGATGCCAGGTGGAAGGGTGCTGATATTGGCACCCACTGTTCTAATTCCTGATGAACCGGCTGAAATTCACACCGTATATACAATACTTGGAGGGTGGATGTATTTATCTAATTTTTTTTTGTGGGATAGTGATTTGAAGTACAGCGGGTCAGCATGGTAGCAAGGCAACCAGCATTTGCTGAATGATAAATCAGCAATATTTAAGACATTTTTCCTGGATTAAATGTCTATTACATCTGCCATTACGTTCAGGTTCCATATTTTGCATGACATAGCCACAAACTAACAAATGGTTAACATGACTGCTACAATGTAGTTTTGCTAAGACTGGTGTTCTATGTAATGTTTTATTCAGGTTGGTCTAGATTATCAGAATCCATATTTGAGCCCCTTCAGGGAATTTCAAAGATGGAAACATCACCCTAGTGTGTCCCCTACTCTGGAAGGTGCGACAAGAATTGCTTATGGAGCGCGTGCACTTAATGAAGGTGGATTTCAGGTAACTTGACTCGTTTCTGTAAGGTAGGAGAATTTGTACATTAAATAAAAACATTTTTTTTTGGGGGGGTGCCTAGATTCTGTTCTGCAAATAAATAAAGACTTTCATAGTGGTCCCCAGATCTGGGAGGGGGGTGTTGTCCGGAACACTGTAAGTAACTGGTAATAATTGTCATTGAGGCAGGTGTGGATTTATTTTAGCAGCACTTGACGTGTGTTTTCACGTCTTAAAGATCATGCAACCTAAAAAGGCTTCACGTCCCCAAGTAAATACCCTGTTTCATGCAACTATTTACTGTAACTGGTCCCCTGCAGCCTTTTCTGTCTTCCTGGTATGTTGGAGGGCAGGCAGCTCAAGTTCCCTCATTCCCCTCCTTCAGCCTCATTCCCTGTAAGTTTAGCTGAAGAAGCAATCTCCCTGATCACATCAAGCTGCAGGTTATACTATGACTAGCTGTATGCTGCCACTGTGCAAAAAATGTTTCTTCTCTTGAAGGGAAATGATAATGGTCATCCTCCCTGAAAACAGTAGGCTGTCTATAATACTAACAATATAGTACAATTGAGTGTATGATAAAGGTTTTCAGAAACATTGTTCAGGCATACAAATGACCAATGGAGGGAACATAAACAAAATCTTTTTATCATATACATTATTCAAATTATGGAACAGTCAGTAATAGTCAAGGTCAGAAGTTCTTTGTCATAAATGTTGTTATATTTACTAAAAACTGCATTTAGCTGAAATACAACACAGTTTCCACTTAAAGTGAAAGTAAGGTTTAAAAAAACAAAGTGCCGATCGGCAGACTTTTTATGACAGAAGAGACTGTGAATGTCATAAAAGTTTCTTGATGCCAGTTCCGCAGTCTTAGTTTCTGTACACTGTGCACAGGCCCGGCATTCTGAGAGGAAATAAAATGGCCATACACTAGTTGATTTCCGAATGAGCGTTCGTACGAAAGATCTTTCTTTACTACCCAATAATACCATCAGACACTTGACGAAATTACGTTTGATGTTAACATTCGATTTTGGAATGAATGGAGTTTCCTGAATAAAAACCACATTCGCTGTTAGGATTTTGTTCAAGAAAAATTTTCCATCCTGCTTCTTTGACTCGTCACTATGGCCGAAATCGATCGTTGATTTGTCCATCAACTAATCGAAAGTCTAACAAGCGTTTTTTCGTACAAAAGTAAGCAGTGTATGGCCAACTCCACTCCCGTGCGCATGTGCGGTAGTTGTGTCATCATGCCCAGCCAGTCAAGCAGCCGAATACTCCAAACACGGAAGAGGGCCGAGAAGAGATTGAAGCATCAGAGAGGGAGGGGATCAGTTTGGCAGGCAAGTCTGCCAAAAAGTGCCAATATGTCGTGCAGTAATTCTGCTTTACTTCCGCTTTAAGATCTCCAACTCTGATGAGAGATATAAACCCTGATTTTCAGGTATATATCTGCTTTATATTTCCAGTCTGTGCCAAAGATGACTTTCCCTGGTGGAGTGTTGGTTGGTTGCAGTCCTGGGTTTATGAATGTACCAAAGATTAAAGGTACTCATACAGCTATGAAGAGTGGCATGCTGGCTGCAGAAAGCATCTTTAGACAGCTGACAGATGAAAACCTCCAGTCAAGTACTCAAGGTTTGAAAACTTCATAATTTTCTATTCATAATTAAGTTTATGTTGTGTTGCCATTTTTTTTTTTAGTTTATGTAGTACTAGTTCCTACCCAACCTTCACCAAGGCCTGATAGCATATTCTTCTTCTTCCTTCCTTCTTCCTTCTTTCTTCTTTCTTCTTCTTTTTTTTTTTTTTTTTTTTTTTTTTTTTTTTTTTTTAATTTATAGGTAATATTTGTTTTGTTTTTGTATAGAAATAAGTAATCAACATTTGACCATAAACTATTACAACTAATCATCTAACACTCTCATAATTGTTGTCAATGAGATGTATAGGAGTATACTCTTTAGGGTTCAGTAGTACACAGCAAATAAGACAAATATATGCAAAGTAATGAAACAACTCTGGAACAGATAAAAGTGGAAGCGATCAATGGGCCTCATATACAGTTGAATTGTTCAGGGTGCCTTCTTCGGTCATATGTTATTTTGTATATGGGTGACACTTGGTCTCTGACCTGACAGCATATGTAGTAGTAGGTGTTTTATAATGGATCCCTTTCAACTCCCAATATTTTAGTGCTTGATGGATTCTGCAGTCTTTGATATTAGGGCTGTTTGTTGAAATCTTTTGATTTAAAACAAGCACGAGCGTATTCATCTTCTGTTTTAATGCAAAAGGTAAACTGTGCTGCACTGAAGACTGGTTCCTGTATGGAGTAACAATATTCCCTCAGAAAACCCTGGGCGTCCTTTGCCAATGTTTAAAGGTTAAAATATTTTTTTTAAACCTGGACTTGTAGAAAAGAAGAAAATGAAAAGGTTAGTTACAGGCTGAACTGAATTAAGAGGTAAGGCAGACCGAAAAACAAGTGCACAGACCCTTAGTACCTGTAGCAAATTATTTGCCAGCTACTGTTAATTGGGGTACCGGCACATGCTGCACATGGACATCCTTTGTTACGTAGGTTTAATTTGTGGTTTGTATTGCCATGGACTTTCTATGCTTGTCTATAAGCTATATATACTTCTAACAGAATGAATATAGCTCCCAGATCCAGGAAACTGTCCGTTTGTTCCTGGGTACATTGGGTTAATTTTATGAAATGAATATAGAGGAACATTTGTCTCCCATAATGTCCAGACTCTGCTATATCACCAGTTCAACTTGCTTTTTATGGGTTCCCATTTATACGGAATACTTATTTTAAAAAGTTATGTCTTATGTTTCTTTGGAGCAGGATTATACACAAGACTGCGAGCTATTCTAAACCGTTTAGGGGGTCATACTTGGGACATAGTGAGTTTCCCCTCATTAACATACAGAGATCTTTATCCCTTTGCTGGAACAGAAATCTAGCTTACAACGCTGTCCGCACCGTACAGATGGGATAATTACTCCTCAGCCTCCCATATATATTACATAGGGGGGAAACTAGGTAGGATTTTAAGTAAAGCACACTCAAAAAGGTAAGCAGCAATTTTTAAATATTTTTGTTCTAGTTCTATCAATGGAAACATGTAATAAATATAGGGTTATCCTAATTTGACTGCAAAAGTGGAAATACACTGCAAAGCCCATCTCCGGACAAACCCAAAAAACTACCCTTGTAGTAGGGCTACCCCCAAACTGCAAGGGTTACGTGCTTGTTGATGCCTAGGGGATGGAGTAAAGCACTTGTACTTTCCCACTTTTCCGGTGGTCCGCACTCTTGTACCCCTCAGCTCCAGCTGGTGGAATGTCCCTTGGCTTCGTCACATATAATGCAGGCCAATAGAACCTGTGTTAGATGTGATGATGTCAGTGGCCCATAGACCACCAGCGTCCACGGGAGAAAAAGCTGCAGGGACCGGTCTAGCAAGCTGCATGGAGCCGGAGGCTTAGGGGTTCAGGTACGTAAATCTGCTTTACTCCATTCCCTAGACAAAAACGTGCACTTAACCCTTGCAGTGCTGGGGTAGCCCCACTGCAAGGGTACTTTTCTTGTTTGCCTGCAGATAGGCTTTAAGTCTAACCTGACTACTAAAATACATTTGTGAGGCTGTGCTACAGAATCTAGAAATAGCTGTATATTTTCTTTATTCTTGTGATGTAGGTCTCAGCGTTCCAGAATATGAGGAGAACCTAAAGAAGTCATGGGTGTGGAAGGAGCTCTACTCAGTGAGAAACATTAGACCTTCCTGCCACAACGTTTTTGGATTGTACGGTGGAATGATCTACACCGGCATTTTCTACTGGTTATTGAGAGGGAAAGAGCCGTGGACACTTAAACATAAAGGTATCTGTGTGAATACAATGAAGGCCACTACAAAAACCTTTTATCCAGGTTTCTTTTTTATGCTTCACCTGTCATGCATGAAATGGCTGAGCTGCTGATCTTTCTGAAAATGCTAATCGTTTGGCTGTTACGCTGATCCGCTAGCTTTGTTACTTTCTAAATTGCTGATGCCGGACAAGTATGCAGATCAGACCACACTCTTAATGTATATACTTGTTCTGGGTCAGTGATTCCAAGTATTGAAGGCAGCCAAGATAACAACTTCAGAAGAAGAATTCTGGAATAGCAGCCTCCATATTTCTCTTATCAAATGAAAGGTCAACTGTTGTATCAGTAAGTAAATATAACCAATCTGAAATGAGGTTTCTGTAAAAGAATATGGAGGCTGCCGTTGCTGTCCTCTCCTTTTGAAAATGCTGCTTGCCTGGCTATCATGCTGGTCTAATGACATCAATATTTTCTGATGCACTGACCAGGACCAAGTATGCTGATCAGATGTTCTGGCTTCACTCTGACTTTCTAATTTCCAGGCTTGCTCTTGGTCAGTGGTTTCAGATGTACTGACTGCAGAGACAGACAGGCAGCTAAGTATTCTTGGGGGGGGTGTCAGTAATGGGAGCCCCTGCATTTCATTCCCAGGTTTCCTTTAATGCTCTAAAATATCTGTTTTTACTTTTTGTGTTCCCATCATTAAGATTCCCAGGAAGCATGGGAAAATCTCCCCAACTCGGACCCCGGCAGCAATGTCCCCATTCCCTAGTCTACTGAAAACTAATATTCTGTCAAGTGTATATCCAAAGTACATAAACATTGTAAACATGAAGTGTTACAGGATTGCAGCACCTCCTGTCATAAAGTAGAACTAAAGCCAAAACCTTTTGGGGGGATTTGGATAGAGTGGAGAGGGATTAGATCATCTGTCTGTGTACTTGTCGGGGGATTCACCCACTCAATATGTCCTGGTGACCGTTGTCAGTGGAAAAAAAAAACCCCCCAAATTTTGGGTTGTCACCAGAACAGGAATAGAAGGCAAATCTTCCAAAGGGGACTCTAGGTCTGGTGACAACCAGGGATTTTGCTCACTTTGGAGGGATTTCCTTTCACTTCCTGTTGTGGCTGTGGGGCAGGAAGTGAAGAGAAATCTCCCCAATGGGACACAGATGGCAGAAAAAAAGAAATCTGACAGGGGCTATAACCCTCCCTTATTGTAAAGACAATTTTAACCCTTACTTTATCCATAATGGAAAAAATGTGATCTTTAATTTCCTTGGACTTGCATATTACACTGGAGTAACTTTGTTATTGTACTCACCAGGGTTGGATAGTAATCAGCTAAAGCCAGCTAAGGATTGCACACCTATTGAGTACCCTAAACCTGACGGGAAGATAAGTTTTGACTTGCTGTCGTCTGTGGCACTGAGTGGTACTAATCATGAGCACGATCAACCTGCACATCTGACACTACGAGATGACAGTGTACCAGTGAATACGAATTTGGCTATATATGATGGCCCAGAGCAGAGATTCTGCCCTGCAGGTAAGTAGCTCGTTGTATAAAAGCAAGCCTGTGTTTAACTGCAGTAAACCATTCTACATTGTAACACCACAATGCAAGATTCTTGGTTCTATGGTGTGCCTCTACAGCCATCCAAATGTAGTGGTACAGAAAAGCTGCACAACTTAAAAGCTGAACTTTGGGATAAGCAAATATTTTCTAAACCAGTGGTCCTCAACCAGTGTAACCTCAGGACCCACATTTGTCCTTGGTCATTAAGTCGTGACCCAAGTCGCACTGCACTGGAACGCATGGCATTGCGTTCCGGTGTGGGCGATCAAACTGTGGGTGGGATGTGCGTTTTGGGGTGCCAGTCAAATGAATAGCAATGCAACGCACCTCCAGCACCAGAATGCGCTGTAGGTGCGATTGCGTGGTAAGGTGCGTTAATCGTATGGGACTGTGCGATTCACGCACTGTACCAGTGTGAACGGGCCCTCAAAAACACTGACAGACACAACCACACACACAATCCAAAAATGTTTTCTTTTTTTAAGATCCACCTGATCTCCCTACCTTACAAGAACCGGTGTGGCTGATATGCTGTGATGGAGCGCCCTGTAGAGGTGCCAGGAACCAGAAGTGGTCACTTCGGTCCAGGCACCTCTGCAGGACACGTGAGGGAACTGTAAGCAATGCCCTTATGGATGGAACTCCCTCGCAGCCATACCCCCAGCCCGAATCAAGTTGACACTTGGCACTGGGCAGCATATTTTGAATGACTGCTTGGTGTGAAACGGACAGTGCTGCACTAGGGGGAGGCTGAGGAGCCTCTCCCCTAGAAAAGAGGAATGCATGCGGTGACCCACTGAACATGAGGTCGCGACCCACCAGTTGAGAACCAAGGGTCTAAACATAAGAGGTGTGTATTTCTTTCAAATCAGTGCAGTAGTCCTCCTAGGAAGCTTTGCCTTTGTGCAGGTACTTCCTGTAATAAAGACCAGTCTGAGCTTCTCCTATCTTCTTTTGACTGGTCTTGTATCCACCCCTTCTTTATTTTTCTTCAGACAGCCTGTACTAGGAGGGCTTGCTAGGTCTCTCCTAGAACTCTGCTTTGCTGGCAGGCAATAACTGGTTTTGCAAAACAATTTAGTGCACACAGTGGATTTATGTACTTTGTGAATATTGAAGAATGTTAAAGCCTTGTTCGCACTAGCCCATCTGCAAAAATGGAACATTTTAGCAAGCAGGCTGGTGAGTTCCGGCAGCTCACTGTTTCGATTTTTTTTTTTTTTACTTTATTGGTAGTGTACAATATGTATACTCCATTCAGTGCTGTTGGGTTGCACTGCGGTGGTACCCAGTGCAAGTCTGCATTTTTCGCAGCGCACCACCCATTACAACCGTGTTGTGGTGTGAACAGGGCACATAAAAACCAGTTGTTTTCAATGTGCCCTAGTGGTGGCATGTGTTTTTATTGTGCTGAAAAACGCAGGTCACCGCTATAGTATGAATGGGCCCTCCAAAATAAAGTTTTGGTGCCTGGAGTTCAGCTATCAATAGACATCATTGTTCTCACAAATCACAACAAATGCATTCCCAGGACATCTTGGGGTAGAGGAAAGCAGATGAAAGGCTAAAGCCACCCAAAATGGTTATTTGAGCTTCAGTGAAGCACTGGCAGTTTGAATCTTACTCCATCTTTTTATATCTCTTAGGAACTCCACTGGTAACATTTTCATGCAGCATTTGTTTCTCAGCCTCTTATCAGTCTCTTGTTGTCAAACCTCTGTAATTATTGTTATATTATCTGTTCTGGAGACACTACCGGATTGTGACACAATCAATTGGCTTTGTAATGGCTGCATCCGTTATACACTGATTTGTCCTTCCCTTTCTCATCTTTGACAAGAAAAGCTTTCCCAGAACCACTTAGGACAGAGTATAGTGGACGAATCGCAGTGTATAAATCCAGATTCTGCAAAACGCATCTGTTGGATTACAGATACTTTGTAGCGCAAGAGTAGGCAACGTTGGCACTCTAGCTGTTGTGGAACTACAACTCCTATGATGCATTGCAAGACCCAGACAGCCACAGGCACGACTCCCTGAGGCAGAGGTATGGTGGAATTTGTGATCTCGACACGTCTGAAATGCCGAGGATGCATACTCCTGTTGTAGCCCAACTGAAGTCGCAGAAATGGATATGCATTCGGACAGAAATTGTATTAGCCATCTCCATTTTCATAGTATTACCTCCACTTTTCTGTGACATCATTTGTGCAGAATGTTTTTATATAATGACTATGCAAACCTGAGTTAGACGCAGTGCACTCTGTAACAGAAAGTGTCTGTTACAAAACTCCCTTTCTCTGCAGTAGAACTCTGGGAGAAGACACTTGCGGCTATTACCCAGCAATGTTGCCACCGAGCACTGGAGTGGGAGGGTAGGAAGCATCATTTGCGCTAGGGATGCACCGATACCGACTATTTGGGCAGGTACTCCTACTCATCCAAATGCTCTGATACCGGAACTTGCGGTCAGAGGGAGATTTCCCTCTAACCGGCAGTGCTGCAGGAGCATGGAGCCGGCTTCCTTTCCAATCAGGAAGCCAGGCGGCACGTAATGACCTGCTTCCTGAATTGTCAGGAAGCCAGGCTGCCTAGGAACAAGTGTAGCTAGCTTCCTAGCCAATCAGGAAGCTGGGAGACGGGTCATGATGTGCTGCCCGGCTTCCTGATTGGCTTGGAAGCCAGCTTCAGTTGTTGGTAGGCAGCCTGGCTTCCTAACCAATCAGGAAGCCAGGCAGAATGTCATGACTCGTGTCCCAGCTTCCTGAATGGTCAGTTTTAAGAATAGTGACTATTAAAATGTACAGTTTGGCAGACCAACATAAGCTGATGTTTTTTTAATTTTTACAGGTGTTTATGAATATGTCCCACTAGAATCAGGTGAAGGCTTGCGACTGCAGATCAATGCTCAGAACTGTGTCCACTGCAAGACTTGTGACATTAAGGATCCAAGTCAGAATATTAATTGGGTTGTACCAGAAGGAGGAGGCGGACCTGCTTACAATGGAATGTAATTCACACTGGACAGCAGTATTTTATCATATTCTGTGACTGATTCCACCTTCTGAGACCAGAGCGGAAAGCAGTTCAAAGTTAACAATGTTCTGACAAAATGTGACACCAAAGCAGGAAAATTCTGCTACCTGCTCCTGACATTGTACTAACATGCTTAGGTGGGCATCTGATTTTTCGTTGTTTAAGATGGTTTATTACTTGCCTTAATTCTATTTAACTGGTCCGTTTGAAGGCCTTTGCAAGGCATGACACGCGTACCATGTGTAATGCCTTTTTGTGAATGTAAGCTAAGACAGAAGAGGTTTTTATGTCCAGCATTTTTTATGTGGCAGAAAAAGAAATCCATTTTTACAAATCATTTTTGTTTTGTGAATTTAATATATTTAACTGTATACTATGTTTTATTGTGAGCATATTCTAGCCTGGTATACAGTAACAAAGCTTTAGATGTGATATGGGAGCTGTTATGCATCTGCATACAATTTCTACAAGAAACCGCCAGCGCACGTAGCATACAATGAATTGTGGTGATTCTGATACCTAGATGTGGTAATTCTGACCAGGTCATTTAGCTGGTCAAAGAGAAGTGTGCAAAAGGGGTTGAAGACCAAGGCTAGCCAAAATGGTTGGTTTAGATATACCAAGAGTGAGCTAGAACCTCCATTATGTTTTAAATGTTGTCCACTAGGATAAACCAGGTGTTAAATCCATAAAGAGGACCTGTCAGTGTTGCTTTGCTATTTTATATAGGGGGATTGTTATCCCCCTTTTGTAATAGCAATAACAATAAGTGTAAAAAAAAGTCACATATAAAAAAGTTTTTTTTTAAAAACCCAAACATTTTTAAGTCCCCCACCCCCACGTTTACGCACATATAAACGTAAATACGCGTTCGCTGCGCCAGCGCGAGAAATCGACAATTGCGCTACACATGTTGCTTATTGTTGCGAACGTCGGAGGGAGAGCAATCATTTTAGGGCCATCAATCACTGATAACACTAAACTGATGAGCGGTAACAAGCTTTTAAAGCGTCGCCAATGGCCAATTTTGGGTATTGTAGTTCTTTTGAGGTTTTGCGCGCGCATGCAATTTTAAGGCTTTACATGTTTGGTATCTACCGTGTTTCCCCGAAAATAAGACCTAGCACTATCTTAAGGGATTTCTGTAATATAAGACCTACCCCGAAAATAAGACCTAGTTCGGTGGTAGGTCTTACATTACAGAGATCCGCTCGGTCTTACTTTCGGGGTAGCTGCACATAAACTGTGTAAAGACCGGCCGCAGCTCCCGTCCCGCCCCGCCCACACGCC